AATCTTTCCATATCTGGTGTCAGCTTTCATCTATCTACAAAAAGATGGACAGACAGACAGATGACAGTGGGAATTTATATATCTACAATTTTTTCAAATTACAGCTCAGTAATAAAAGATGATAAATAAAAATTTAAGAATTTTTAAAAAATTAAAATATTACACTTTAGGATGAAAATTCCTAACTTTAGTAACATTGCATTGCAAGAAAAGACTTCCTTCCATTCATGCACAATTTGTTTTACTTGTTACATGCATGGTTATATAAGACATGTTATGTGAATTTTAAACATTATATTATGTAAAAATAATGTAGCTTATATACATAAAAATAATTTAAAAACCATTTTTCAAACAATTTAATTAAATTTCTTATGAATGTCATATTACAAAATAATTTACTTCTAAATTAATTAATCAACAAATTTTTTTATAATGAATGGTAGTGAATTCATAAAGTGATCTAATTCATTCCAATAATTTGTTTAATATTATATTGTCTAATATTATAGGTAGTTTATTTTGATAATGTTATATGTTTTGAATTACTATGTAATTTGAAATTTTGAAATATTGGACTGTTTATTTTGAAAGTGGTGCAAGTCCATTTTTTTATATTTTTTGAGATGTTTAATTAAAGGTTTTCATTTTAGTTGATTCAAAAATATAAAGTGTACTAAGTTTGGCAATGTTTCTATGAATTTAGAAATATGTAAGTAGATTACATAAATGACTTCTATGTGAATTTAAACTAAACCAATATATTCTTTCTGGGTCGTAAATGAACTCACATCACTCATAATTATCGAACTGTAAAAGTCATTAAATTTCAATTATCTAAAATTAAAATTATCAATTTCACTTGAAATACATTGTGTTTAATTCTGACTTTATTTATAAATAATAACAAAAAATAAAATAGTCGTTTATCCTCAACAATAAAAATATTTACGTATCATTAAACTATTTTATGATAAATTTATAATTAGTATGAACTTATCATTAGATAGTGCTTTTCATTTAGGCTTGTTATGTAGATTTTTTATTCCATCTATTTCCATTTCATCAAATTGTGCTTCTGTTGATAAAATTTGTAGTTTTACTCGTCTTGTAAGGGACTGTTCATAAATGATGTCCACACTGGGAGGGAGGGAAGGAAGGAGTTAATTAAACTGTGGAAAATGGACTTACACCACTTTCATAATCAATGTCATTTTCTGATGAATTTTCAATTGAATAAAGTGTATGATTTTTTTAAAATACTAAGTGTGAATTGTTTATAAATAAAAAGTTTACACTAAATTTTATGTAAATTATGTGATTTATCAATTTTTTTTCCAAAAATGGACTTGTACTACTATCAAAATAAACGGTCCATTTCATAAATTCAAGTTATCTTTTTTTACAATTAACAATAATAATTATAATAGTTTAATCTAATCTAATGTAATTTTGTAGAAATATTTGTTATTTGTCTAGAAAGTTCAGTAAAATTTGATAATACTAAGAATTTGTTTAATTTATTAAATAAAATAATTTTTATTTAAACTTTATAGCTTATTGTGTTGTTGAAGAAAATTATAGAAAGCATGTTTACAAATTTAAACTGCATGTTTTGATATTTTAAAATTATTGATAATTTTTTCATTTTATTTACTTTAATAAAAATCGCTGAATGCTAATATACTTAATGAATGTTTATGTATTAAAATTTATATTTGTTTGTTTTTGTAGCATTTCCCATATTTTAATAACAGAATAATGTAATCTATGGAATGTTTGTAAAATTGAAATATATAATGTTAAATATTTAAACAAAATTTATACAAAGTATTTAACCAAACATTGACATAAATGTGTTATGGAAAATTTTTATATAATTGAAGGATATTGAAAATAATTATTTTATCAACATATGATGGTTCCTTTAATAAGTAGTACTAACATTGTATAGTTTGATTTAGTTATTAAATTATGATTTATTGTAGTACAGGATGATCAAATTAAAATGGAACTCTAGAACAATGCAGTGTTTGGAAACACTCTGAGTCAGACTTTGAGATTCTGCAAGCTGGTGATGCAACAAACATGGCCAGCTCAGTCACAAAGTCGGACTCTTGGCATTACCAAACTCCTTGTACTACTCACAAGTTTTGTTTTTGTTTCATCTCCCAGTATGATTTGTAAAATGCATAAAATAAAATGTTTGAAAAATAGTACTAATTTGAATTGAGCTTATAAAACATAGTTTACTTATAAAATACTTTGATATTCATCATAAAGCACAGTATTCTTCTGTCCTCTTGAGTATAAGAAAGCATTTTATTACTAACAAAAATTTAGTTGAAAATAATGTCGTAAACACTTTTTTCATCTTTTTATCTTTAAAGAAAATTATTGTCTTGAGAAAATTTCAGTGAAAAAGATGATAAAGAGTTCAAAACATTTTCTGAAAAATTGTGAATTATAGAATTCACTTGGTAACTGTCTGAATAACTGTCTGGTGCTGTTTGTTTGTTTGTTTGTTTGTTTGTGTGTGTGTGTGTGTTTGAATTCCTTATAACTCCTGCAGTTTTTGTCCAATCTAGATGAAATTTTGTTTATATTCATTTTATGTTCTGATAATAAGTATAGGCTACTAATTTTGTATAAATATTAACCATAGAATAAACATGTTATTGATTTCAGATTGGTGATTACACTTACATTGCAGTGACCTCGTTTAGTTCATGTTTGATGAGGAAATTTCTTTTAGGTGGCATTTTTTAATATTTTGGAAATAGTGTATTTTAAATCTGCTTCATTAAATTTAAACTTTAAAAAAAGATAGCCACATTGTATCACTTCTATAACAAATTAAAAAAAAAATTTTTTTATAGTGATCACATGATATTCTACTATAAAATCTGAAGTAATGATCTAACAAGCCCATTATTTAGAAAGTGTTATCACTCATCTAAGTAACATACATACAATTCATCTTTATTTTTATCAATGTGGAATTAAAATGACTCATTATTTTGCCCAAAAAAAAAAATGCCTAGGGAAAAGTGTAAGAGTAAAATTGGTCAGGTAAATTCAAGATCTAAAAGAATAAAACACTCGAGACCACTGAAAGCCATGAAGTCCAACTTGAGCAACATCAAGTAAGAATGGCATTGTCAAGGGCTGCAGAAACAGCATCATGTCAAGCTCAAGCATAAACTACTTAATTTGTAGAAATATTAGCAACTATTCTTGAATTTCTTGAAATATATACTTTTCTCAATTCTTCAATCTCTACTTTCTCATAAAAAGTATTTAGTCATGCTTGATGGAAGAATTTCTAGTTTCTGTATAATATGCCAAATGTCATGTAACTGATGTAATTTATTAAACAAACAGAACACAGCTATGTATACAGAATGCTACTTTTGTTAATACTAGTTAATAATAATATAAACAAACTGCAGGTAAATGGTGTATGTCCAGTGAGAACCTCACAGGTCGCCAAATAGATTTTATAAAAAGTAAAGCAGAATTCTCAAAATGTAACCCTAATTACTTTTAAAGATGATATAGATAAAGATATTATTTTTAAAGAATAATAGTAAGTCATCCAAATCTAGTAGCTTAGAGACCTACAAATATCTCAGTCTGCTACTTATAGCCCAATCTTACAACCCTGAAACTCAGCTGTATTTTATGAGATAAGAGAAAAACGGTAGTCAATTAATAAAGTAACACCCAAAAAGGAGTTACTGTAAAAGAAAAGCAGTGTTGACCAGATTAGAATTGTTCATTTATTATTAATGATATGTCTATTATTATTATTATTATTATTCTGTTATAGTGTAGAAGTACATAAACTTTGATCTAAATGTATGAGTTACTATATACATATCACAGTTCGGACAAAATTTTTACTTCAGATTTCAAAGTAGCCCTATTTTGAGTGAATTAAATTCCTTAGCATATAAATCTATACATCTCCAGCCAGGACAAATAGTTTCAGTTATGAACTAACATGATGTCAAGCTATCTGAGTTCAAATGAACAAGGATTTCCTGTATATTATTATATTACGAAATATTTATTTTCTAAAAAAATGGTTAAGATGGTTAAAAACATGATTATTATTGAAGTTATCTTATAAACATTACTAAATTTAATACAATAGTATAAACATGTGTTCAAATGATTTTAGTCAGGTTTTAGAGATTAATTAGACAATTACAAACTTTTAACTGTAAAAATGATATCACATTTATTCAGAATTAAAATGAATGAAGCAATTGTTTCTGTGGGGGGATTTTTTAAAGATTTATAATCTTTTACATATTACACTATAATATATGTCTAGAATTCAGACTGTTATATGTATATAAATGCTTAACATTTTACACATAACCAAAATTATATATTTATGCTTAAATATGAATTTATATTTGTGATTACATGGATAAAAAGGATAAAGTTTTTGATAAGATTGAAGATAACTGTTATTACAGAAGAATATACAAATAGCAATATTTTTTCTTTATTGAATTACAGGTTTGATTCTTGCTTTTGGTGTTGCTGATTGTGATTATTTTTTGCTTTTGGGAAAATTTGTCAGTTATTATAACATTATCTACTAAATAGCAGTTGAATAAATTTATAATAGTAATCAATCTTGCACACATTTTACATATATAATAATTAATATTAATACTGAACTTAAGTACTAATTTATGAATTTGAATTCAAAAATAATTTTTTAACTTTATAATTTTAAGTTTTTAAAACATTCCATGGATTATTTTAGAAATTTTTTTTTACATTGAATTTTTTCCCAGTATATAATTATAGTTATAGTAATTATTTTTGTAACTAATATGTGATTTTTCTTAATATTAAGATAAAATAATCTTCATAACTTCTTCTAAATTAATTATAACAACATTCTATTTACTAATATTGCCATTTCCAACATGGCTCTTGCTTGCTTGTACAAAATTTCAATACCTAAAACTTTTCAGCAGTAATATCCCTTTGGGGGGTGATGAGATACCAAGCTCAAGACAGAAAGGTCATACGAAGTCTGCATCTGTTTCTTGTACTGGCCGTTCTGAGCTGGCATCTATTGATCCTTCATCTGACCCTCCACGACCAAGGTAGTGTGTGTCTTGTCCTTTTATAATAAATAACTAATATGTAACAGTTCTTATAAAATAAATTAATTTATATCATTTTATCTCATCCAATATAAAAAAAAAGTTATTTAAAAATAATCTTAAAAGGAATTTTAAGGTTCTTAGCCAAAGATTTTAAGATTACTTTTTGATGCATGTACTGTAAACATTAGCATTGCATGAATAACCTTGTATGGTTTCCTCTAGTTCTTGTTTGCATGTTATGTTAAATTTTAACTGTGTGTTTAGAAGCCTTTTTGTTTTTTTCCCTGTATTTTTGGCATTAAATTTTATTTGTGTTTGTGATATTAGTGCATTTAGAATTATTAATAAAATGTTTGCACGTTTAAAGACTGACTGCACCCTAGTAATTTGTTGTCTTAAAATGAACTTTCTAGAAATTGTGTTCTAGTAGTATTGCTATTTTAATTAATGTGTGTAATTTTCATTAAATAGTGAAATCTGTATGAAAGTAATTTCATCATTTTTGAAAAGGAATTATAGTAAAAAAAAATTATATTTTTTGTAAAATCTTACATTTCATATATAATTCTATTTCTACTTTATTGTGTTTAGTAAGGTAAGATTCCTGAAATTTCAAATATTTATAGCTTTTGAGTAATAATAAATATAGCAATGTAAGTAATAATCAAAACCTTTTTAGCAATTCCAATTTAAACTTCTAAAAACAGCAAGCAATGTTCTTTTATTGGAGTATTTTTTAGTGGAGATTTGGTTTAGAATTAAGTCATTTACACAAAGAATTAAAGATTGGTGTTGAATTTCAGTAATGAAAGTGTTATTTTATAGTCAGTCCTATATGTCTCCAGGAATTGATATTTTGAGTAATGACTAGATGTATTAGAATAATTTTTACATTGTTATTGTTTTTTGTGTGTTTTTATGTTTGAAAATGTTTTAAAATGCTGCCTTCAATATTCTTTTAGGTGATTACTAGACTAAACTGTTTGAATTTGTTTTGTAATGGAAAAAATGTTGAGCAAGAATGGAATTTTAAAAATTCTAGGGTTTATCATACTTTATAGCAGTAGAGGACTCTACATATATTGCTGAATATTCATCATTAAACTTGCAAATATAAAGGATACCTCAGTAAAACAATATCCAGTAATACAGTTTATTTTTGATACCATATTTTCACAGATTATCCAGCATGTCGATTTATTTGAGAGATCATGAAATCAGATATTTCTGTGTGGTAAAAACTGGCATGCTGGTTTATCCCAGAGGAATGACTGCATGCCAGTTCAAACGAGGGTTTACATCCTTCTTCAAAGGACTCCCTTTTTGTGAAAAAATGAATGCATTATGTTGCATGGCATCTTGTATAAGCCAGTTTTTATTTTAAAATTGTGAAACACTCAGTATTACATCAAAAACTATGAATATATGTTTAATTTCTGTATCTTTCTTCTTTCTAATGATGCAAAATACTCGTGGAATGTCAAAAGTGCTTTTCTGATGTTTATTGAAATTTGATAAAAAAACAGCAAAAAATAAACATTTCAAATTTCATAAACTTGCTATAAATTATATCAACTTACAGGGTATAACATATCCTTTGTGTGAAATTTGAGGTGGTGATCTAATTTTAAGTCAATCAAATTACAATGTTGTTATTTTAATGTACTGGGAAGAATATTTTCTTTAACATTTATTTAACAACTAATTTTGTTAGATCTGATTAATTTTATTTTTTAGTTGCAGTTTAACTTGCATGCTGATCACTCTGAGGTTTCCAGCATGTTGGTCTTTCCTAGTTATATGCAGCAAAAAATATGGTAAAAAAAAAATGGACTACAAATATTTGGTCATTTCTTATCTGATAAATAAAAAACTGCAACTACATTAGTAAAAATTGTGATTTCCTCCCTGCAATTAGCTACAAAAATGGTTTTTATTTTCTAAATAATTTTTTTTAATGCATATATTATACTCTCTTACCTCTTTAAACACGAGATCATCCAAAATTATCTTTTCCACTCTAGACAAAATCAGTCAAGGAGGACTTTGCTTTACTGTTTTTGCTAAATAAATTTCCCTCAAAACCTGAGGGCTAAAAAGTTTCATCTCCAGGTAAGGTTAGTTGAGGAAATATAGCAACTTAATTTTATATTATAACTGCACAATGACCACCTAAGTGTATGAACAAAACAAATTCATGAAAGTATTTTTATAACTTTTAATTACAATACTATATAGTATAGTAGTTTTGACAAAAACAAAGCAAATATAATTGCAAAAGACTATGAAATCAAAAGTATTAAAATGCCGTATTCCCTTAACACTTATTTCCAGGTACAGAGAAAGAAGAAATTTTCAGAGCTTAGAGTTAATGCACTAAAGAATTTCAAATGCATTTGTTATAATAATCATTCTTTATTATTAATAAATGAATGTATTAGAATCATACTTTATATTTGTTTATAAATTATTGAATTATTATTGTTTGTTTATATATATATATATAAACAAAGAACAATAATTCAATTTTAATGAAGACATCATTCTCATAGTGAAAATATTAATGATAAAAAGTAATGAGTGTTTATATATATACAAACAGTCATTACTTTTTGTCATTAATATTTTCACTATGAGAATGATGTCTTCATTAAAATTTCAAATTATACAAATAAACAGTAAACATTAGTTTGAGGATGCCAATAATTAATAATTACTGTACAGTACTTAGCTAATATTTTGTATCAGACTTTTTGCAATGATCAATACCTTTCCATGTCAGTGCAGATGTTTAAAATATTTAGCAATTAATATATATATTTATTCAGTTTTTTTTTATTTAAAATAAATACAGGTGAATTAATGGATAGATGTGAGATTTTACAATATATATTTGCAGGCTTTATGATGATTAATATACACTGACCTAGGTGGCTCTGCATTATACTCAATCAAATCACATTTGTTGTATAGAACATTTTATTCTTTAATTGTCATTTCTGCTGGATTTTGTGAAATCATTCTAAATATGTATTGTGAGAAATACTCTAAATTCATGTGAAATTTGTTAATAATAATTAGATATTGATAGTATAAGGAAGAAATTGGCACTTATTTGCTTTGATTTATTTTCTAATGAAACATTGGTAATAATAATTATTAAACATTTAACATTAATGATGATTACAAATGAAATTTAGTAGAAAAATATTCAGTTTGAGTAATAATGGACATTTAATTTTTCAATAAAACTATATAATGATCCAAGGTATTTAAAAGTAAATTGTTTTTTTTTTTAAATATCGTCTATTTTGTAATTTTAGTTTTATAAAACCAACACTATTTTATTTTAGATATTTGAAATCAAACAAAAATTATGTTCTACAGTTAAAAAACAATCTGTTCAAGATTTCAAATTTCTTCAGAATGCAGAATGGAAATGTATGGATGTTCTCATTTGAACTTAAGATACAAGATGTTTCTGACAATGAGGCAGAGAAGGCCCAAAAAAATATTTAACCAAATAAAGAGCATTGACTTCTCTGATCTTCTTACAGTTTGTGTTCGTCATGATATTACATGGAGTTGACATTCTCTGAAACTTGTCAAGTATAAGATATTTAAATTTTTTTTTAATTCTTCAATAGCTATGTTTTTTATTATCTAGATAGTTTAATAGTTATAGGTGTCTAATTGATCTATTGTTTAACTTAGACTGTAGAACATATAATTGATTTATATTTTTTTTCTTTTAAAAAATTTAATGCTCATTATAAATATGCTATACATATACATATTTATTTATATATGCAATTACTGAAGGTAATATTGTTTACTTTAACGTAATATAATGATTATAATGAAATATTTAATTATTGCCTAGTTACAGTTGGGCTCAATGCCAAAGATGTTATCAAGATCTTTTTGTTTATAATTTGTTTTTTTGAATTTATTGTTGCAATTAGTACTTATAAGTGGACGTGATTAGGTTAAATTCTGTAATAAAAATATAAATATAGAATTGTTTTTAAGATTATTAATGATTTATATTAGTTAATATTTTCATACAGATTTCACTATGTATTTGTTATATTTACATAGCATATTTTTTGATAATTCTTCATTTCTAAATTTAAGTTTTTATTAAAAACAATATATTTATATACATAAAAATGTTTTTAATATTTTTTATTTGATTGACATGATGTAATAATTCATTGTTATCTAGTAGTGTTTTAAGTAATATTTTTCTCATAATCTCAAAATTTTATAGGTGACTATTTAACTAAATAATTATTTTATTAGTTTACTCATCCAGTTACAGTTTATAGTTAAAATTAACACTGAAATTAGATAAATGTTATACTTTGTTACATTAAAATCGCCTGACATATTTTTTCTTATATATAAACATATTCTTGTCTAAGTTTTTGTTAATAGAAAGTAATCAGATTATATCAGAAAATAATTTGTCAAAATGATTATAGATGCTATATTATTCTGTTGACAAATGATCAAATAAAAATTGGATTAGGTTAATAATGTTAAAAATAAAAAATTAATTTTAAAAAGCAATATCCTATTCCAGTTTTTACTGCTAAGGACAGAAATTTCTGTTTATTTTAAATTTAATTCAATTAAATAATTGAATAGTCTTAAAAAATTCACAATTTGTCATTCAAATTCCAGTGTTTTTGGCATTCTTAATGCCATGCAAGTAATACTGTATGTCATGAGATTACTGTCCCTCAACAGAAACATCTAACATGCTCCATAAAAATAACAATACAAAGATAACAACAAACAAACAAAAATAATTTTGATTGTATATATTATAAAAATTTATTTAAAAAAATATAAGAAAACATACTTACAATATAAAGATTACAGTGGAAAATTATTAAGTAATTTTTTACACTTAAATTTAAAATATATAAAATCAAAAAATAAAAGAGAGACTGCATTTAAAACCATAGTTATGGTACAATAAAAGAAAA